TTTTTTTTTTTTTTGCTTATGTGGTGCTGAGGAATCGAACCCAGGGCCTCATGCATGCAAAGCATGCTCTGTACCACTGAGCCATCTTTCCAGCCCCAAAGAATATGCCAATTGTACATTAGTAAACTCTGACTTGAATTCTTTATGTAACCTGAGCTGCCCTCAAATTCATAATCCTGCATTGGCCTCAAAACTGCTGAGATTACAGATGCACCCCACTATACCTGGCCATTTGCATTAGTGTTTTTGCTTTTTTTTTTTTTTTTTTTTGGTCATGAGGATTGAAATATGGGTCTGAACACTCTCCCTTGGTTCTACAGCTCAAGGCTAGCGCTCTACCACTTGAGTCACTACGCTACTTCTGGTTTTCTGAGTGGTTTATTGGAGATAAGAGTCAGGGACTTTCCTGCCGTGATCCTCAGATCTCAGCCTCCTGAGTAGTTAGGATTACAGGCATGAGCCACCTGCGCCAGGCTCTATGAGAAATTTTTAATCCTGTTTTCTTGTTAGATTATGTGCTCTGTTCCATTTGTGCCACCTAAATTGGGTCAATTCTTTTTAACAAAAGCTAGCTAGCTTTCATAACTGTGTGAACTTAGAATTGAGTTGTGAATTGCACTGGCTGTCTGCCTAAAAGCAAGAACATTTGTGTAATTTCTGGATAAAGTCTTGAATTGCTTACTTGTAATTCCAGTAATGATGGCACTGTAGAATGTAGTACAATTGTTCTGTTTAAGCCAAATTTTAAGCCAAATAAACTGAGTTAGATTATGGACAGATGCTGGATGCTCTGGTGAGTCTTAAAGAAGAGAAGACTATATGCTTTTCTGTCAGATGTATCTAGAATGATTAGAAATGCAATTATAGTGTTGTCTTAAGCTTTAGGGGAGGGGAGGTCACTTTTAGAAATAAAACAGGTTAGTTGACTTTTGGAAATTCCTTGTAGCCATCTAGGTATTCCTGAGTATATAAGTGATGACTGAAGTCTGGGCTTTGTGGCCAAATATGAGCAGTAGGAGGCATTTGATAATGCAGATGAGTAAGACTATGGTTACTATTCTAGGTGCTGTAATGGAAGCAGTTTAACTCCACAAATGAGAAGTGATTTTCCACACAAAGGTATCTTAATCATAAGCCAGCTTAAGGTTCTCTCTTTGTAAAGAGAGTTTTCATTTAATTCATAGCTCTAAAATCCACCACACATTATAGATGTCCTTAGGACTATTAAGATTTACCATATTTACATAGGACAGAAGATAAGATTATTGGACTGACTACTAGTCCTCTACGGGGCAACAAGACGACTCTTCCTCATTGAAGCTACCTGTGCATCGGAGAAGCCCATAAGGCACAAAGGGAGGACTTGTCCACAAGGTCAGTTAGAGCACAGTTCCCACAAGTGGTCAGACAGATATGAAGCAAGTTTCATATTTACCTACACATTGCTTTGAATAGTTAGCAAGTGTTGGGCTGAATATGCTCTATCACATTGAGACCTTCAGTTCTTACACTTTAATTTAAAAGAGGCCCCTTCCGTACCATACTGTTTGGTTTCCATCCCTCTCTCCCAAGTGTAGTGTTATGTGATGATAATGGCTTTGTCCAGTATTTGAACATCTTTCAATCTTAACAACCTACTGGGTATACTAGTTTTTCTTAGTTTTTAAGGAAAAATAACTTACGCAAAAAATTTCTAGTTTGCTTTATCATTTTTCTGAAGAAATCTTCTGCCAGGGGGATACTTAAGACCAAAAAGGCTAGAGTACATGTGTTCTTTGTACCACTTTGCCTCTTGCCTAAAGTAGGGGAAATAGGGGGGGGAATTGAAATGTCTCTTTTTGGGCAAATAACTCTTAGATAAAGTTGTTGATGTTCTTAGTAAAGCACACAAAGATTTAATTGCTTAGATTGGAATTTAAGATACTTTTTCTTTTTAAAATCAGTTATAGGGGCTTTTCATTGTTAGACCTGCACACTTTGGTTAAAGTAATGAAGCAAGGAGGTTGATAGGAAGTACACTGTTTATAGAAAAGGTAGGCTCAAATTAGGTGGCTCAAAAGAAAGATCTATTTTCTTAATGTTAGCTATAGGATATTTAAACAAACATAAGCTTTTGTATTTAAAAATACGTGATTGGAGTTAGGCACCAGTTGCTCACACCTTTAGAATATTAGTTATTTGGGAGGCTAAGATCAGGAGGATTGTAGTTTGAGGCTAGCTTAGCAGAAAAGTCTGTCAGACCTTCTGAACTCATAATCAGGAGAGCAATGGTGTGTACCTATCATTCCAAGCTACAGGAGAGGCTGAAATTATGAGGATTGTAGTGTCAGGCCAGTCTGAGATACCATCCCCACAGAGGGAAGTTGGATGCTATTCTATGTGTCTGGGATCCCAGAGACAGTGGGAAGCCTAAAGTAAGGCAGATCACAGATGAAGGGTTTACTTGGATGTGAGACCCTATCCTGAAAAGCAACCATGAAATGTCTGGAGGTATGGCTTAGTGGTATCACTCCTGCTGAGCCATTTATTAGCTCTTGAGTTTAAAATCCCAGTACCTTAAAAAGGGGAAGGAAAAAAAAATCTGATTGGGTGACCATGTCTACTAAACATTCCAGCTCCCCCTCCCCCAGGTTACTATTTACCCTTCTAACGTAATTTAACCTTGTACGGTTTTGTGTTCTATCTTCTTATAGCCTTCCCTTTCGTATTCTTTTCTAAAATGAAATTTGTGTTCTTTATCTGAAATGAAATTTGTTTAGATTTTACAACATACATATTAGCTTTTCCAGTTTGAGAGAATTCACTATTTTACTTTCTGCTTTTAATTTTCTTCTTGCTCTCTCTTTTATAATTTATAAGTTGCGTCTCTTGGTAAATTCAGTAAACTCAGTATTTGTAGTCTGAAAAACAATTGTCTTTCGTCTCTCAGTTGTTTCACTTTCAAAACAATATAATTATTGTACTTTAAGTCTATGGTCAATGTCTTCTTTTATGGCAGAAAAGAGGGGATCTGATGATAAAAAAAGTAGTGTGAAGTCCAGTAGTCGAGAAAAACAGAGTGAAGACACAAACACTGAATCGAAGGAAAGTGATTCTAAGAATGAGGTCAATGGGACCAGTGAAGACATAAAATCTGAAGGTGACACTCAGTCCAATTAAAACTGATCTGATAAGACCTCAGATCAGACAGAGGTAAGTGTATTGTTTCTCACTTTGATTAGGGCTTTTTGTTACTGTTTGACAGTGCAGCGTAAGTATGCACAGATGAAGATGGAACTAAGCCGAGTAAGAAGACAAACAAAAGCATCTTCTGAAGGAAAAGACAGTGTAGTCCTGCAAAACATTTTGAGGTACATTGTTTTGTCTCAGCTATTTTGTAGCAGACTCGTGCCCCCATTAGTGTGCCTCTTTGGAAAATATTGCCCACGTTTGTAATATAGTCGCCATTAAAAAGTTAATTATCCTTTTTTTTAGGGATTTTGCTGTCATTTCTTTTTTTTTTTAATAAAAAGGTTGAACTGTTTTTTATTTTTTTATTTTTGGTATTAAGTCCATCTTGTGTTGGTACATTGGCAGAGACATATGCTTTAAAAACTTAACTATTTCTGAGGCACATGTTGGACTATTTTGCTTTAATTAAAACTGCTAGTATTTCTTTGTCAAGGATGTTTCTAGTTTTTTGCTTTATTGCCTTGCATTCTAATGCAGTTTGTTCTGTAACTCGAGAGCCAGTAGCATTGGATTGATGGAAGTGTAGGGTTTATGAATTATTGCAGCTGACTACCATACCTCACACAGCGTTGGTGTTGTGAGCGGCCCATGAAAAGCCAAATTAAAAATCAAGGATTCAGTCAAACTAAGCAGGTACTCATGCCAGGTACTCCTTTCTCTACCCACATCCATGTTTGAATGCTATTGCCTGTGATCTTTTACGCTTAACTGTTGTGTATCTTTTTTGTTCTTTACAAGAAGCACAGAGGGGTTTTTTGTGTATTGCGTGAAAACTTACAAATCAAATGTTAACAGAATGGAATTTTTTTTCAACTGTGTGTAGGGATGCAGTGGTGCCCAGAATTAGATATCTTTAAAGAATTTTAAATACAGTAAATACTTCATATTATTCGCCTTGTTACATTCAATGCAATTCTCAAGTCTTTAAGAGGTATGTGTTTAATATTTCCTACTGTGTAGGAGAATTTGCAGTCAGCCATAGGAATATAGGAATAGTCACTGGCTGATATATTACAAGCAGTAGTGAAAGGCAGGAAAGACATTTCCAATCTGTGACATGCAAAGCACTGATAAACTGTCTAGAATTAATTTGGGTTTTTTAAAGAGCTGTTAAAAAGCCAGGTGTTGTAAGTGTTCTTAAAACCTCTACACTATTCATTCTTTGGGCTAGTGGTGTGGGACAAAATATTCCTAATGAAAGGAATTGGTAGTGTTCCTTTTCTAGTAAAACAACAGGGTTCTATCTGTTTGAGCCATTCTCATGTAGGAAAGTTTACACAGGCACATGGCAATAAGGATCACACTGATGTCTTGATTATTAAAAACAAATACAGACATTTCATATACACAGGTTACTTATTAGCAGTTAGTGACTGGGCCAACACTTAGTCATAAAAACATTGCCTTTTATATGCTGTCTAATTATCATTTTTCCCCAACTTTTGCATTGTAGGACTACTGTTCGAAGATTTTTTGAAGAATACTGAAAACAGCATAAAGTGAAGATCGACATTAAAATGAGGTGAAAGAAAACTATAGTTGCATAGAAAAGTATAAAAAGCTCAGTTAGTTTGGTTTTGTTTTTTGTTTTTAATTAAAAATTAATTCAGGACTGATATGACCTACCAGATTTCAGAACATGTGTTAATAGCATATATACCACTTAGGTCCTGTATCATATTTTCTCTTTAAGACTTTTTAAGAAATATTACCTAAACATATGGCTCGCTCAGTGTTTAATTGCAAGTTTTCATTCTTGGACTTTGAAAACAGGATTAAACATTAGTATTCATGTGAATCAGACTAAGTGGGATTCCATTTTTTACAACTCTGCTATACTTAGCCTTTGGATTTAGAAGTAAAATAAAGTATCTCTGACTTTCTGTTACAGAGTTGATTTGTCTGTGTCATTGAAAAGTTTTAGTATTACTCTTTTTCTAATAAAGTTATTGACTCTGAACTAGTCCCTTGTTTTAAATATAAGAGGTACACTATTACTAGAGGTATTAGTGTACTTTTTTTTCTATCTACTTAAAAGTAATTTTTATAGAATTTCTAGTTGGATGTTTTAAATAATGGTGCTTCAATTTTTGGGTGTGGGTTATGAATAAATTTGCATTTTGCTTTTAATAGCGAAGATGTGCAGTGAATTAGAATATATTTTTACATCCCTGAGAGATTCCTTTAGTAGTAGTTGGTTCCGAATAGCTCTGACAAACACTATCTTCCACTAGGTATGAAACAATGTAGAAGAACATTCAAGAACTTTTGCTGTTCTTGTTTCGGGTCTTGTTTTAATCCTGTACCTCTATTTGTAGAAACATCAACTGTATAAAAGTGTTAATCTTTAGCTACATGTATGTGTATATAATTCATGGTAATTTCTTGTGATTTATAGTTGAATTTTACCACCAGCTTATAGATAAACCAAGTAAGTGGATGAAATGGCTTATTCAAGTTGTATGTTTCATATTGAATGTTAAGACATGGAGTCTGGCATCTGCTTGTTGGTTCAGTACCTCATTATAGGTACCAGTTGTTCATTCTGATAGGCAGTATGGTCAGTAACTATTTACTGAATGATACATTATCTACCAAACTTAAAAATAATGAAGCCAGCTGGTGCCGGTGGCTCACACCTGTAATCAGTCCTAGCTACTGAGGAGGTTGAGATCTGAGGATCACGGTTCACAGCCAGCCCGGGCAGGAAAGTCCATGAGACTCTAATCTCCAGTTAACTACCAGAAAACCAGAAGTGGCGCTATGGCTCAAGTGGTAGAGCACTAGCCTTGAGCTGAAGAGCTCAGGGGCAGCGCCCAGGCCCAGAGTTCAAGCCCCACGACTGACCAAAATAATAATAATGAAACCATCATTTTTAAAGGCCCTCTAGAAGAAAATGCTGTGAGGATGGCCCTCTTCACTTCCCTAGCTGATCCTAGACATGCAGCAATAGATGAGGAGGTTGTCTCTGAATTTGCAGAAGGTGATTCCCGCAAGGATTATGGTCATCAGTGAAACAAAATCTTAACAGCCCAACAGCTTAACTGTCAAGCAGCCCAACCTCTAAGCTCTGCTTTGTAGTTTGACAAGGTTGTAGTTTAAGAAACAGAAGAAAGCCGGGCGCTGGTGGCTCACGCCTGTAATCCTAGCTACTCAGGAGGCTGAGATCTGAGGATCGCGGTTCAAAGCCAGCCCGGGCAGGAGAGACCGTGAGACTCCTATCTCCAATAAACCACCAGAAAACCGGAAGTGGTGCTGTGGCTCAAGTGGTAGACGCTCGCCTTGAGCTGAAGAGCTGAGGGACAGCGCCCAGGCCCAGAGTTCAAGCCCCACGACCGACAAAAAAAAAAAAAAAAAAAAGAAACAGAAGAAATCTACTAAGTACAAAAATGCCAATTTGTTCTTTTCTGCCTCATCTAGACTCAATAGCTATCATAAATGAAGTACAGTGATGGGCTCCTGTGAAATAACTTCTATGAACACTTAAGTTTTTTAGTATCTATTGATAGTATTTGGGATTTGAAGTACCTGGTTTCTTAGGGTGTCCATGGCTAAAGACTTGTCTTAACTTTGGAATGAGTTTAGATTTTACATCATTTATACCCTAAGTTGATCTGATTCAAAAGACACTGATTCTTACTAACCAAAGTCCCAAGAATCAGGTATAGACATGAGGATGATAATTTACTACATTAGAAATGCATTTTGCTGTGTGCACAAAAAAATAGTTGGTTAATATGTTTGTGTCCTTTCTCTTTGGAGAACCAACTCTAATTAATCAGAAAAATTACTAGGGAAGATTGAAATCATAACAGTTTCTTTTTAATTTTGGAAATTTTAAGATAAATAGTGGCATAATTAGCCTCTAAAACTCATCACCATTGAGATTCATGGCCTCTGTGTGTATGTGTATGCATGTGTGTATGCATGTTCATGTGTCTATCAAATGTCTTTTATTTGTACCATTGATTTAATCTGTAAATAATTTCACATGTATGATAAAAAAAAACAAAGATTCCTTTAACAGTTCATTCTTACAAAGTATGGGATTTTACTCACCATAGCTAAACTATAGTACTGGTCCAGTAGTGCATTTCTTTTGTGGAGGCCTAGGTAATAAGAGTACATCTGTCTCCTGTGGAAGCAGATAGATTAGACATACTGCACCTTTTTGTTTTTTCTTCAAACAGATTAAGGTCACATTTTTCAGTTAAATTGAAAACCTCATTCTTGAACTCATAATAACTTTTTTTTTTTTTTTTTGGGTCCGGTTGTGGGGCCTGAACTCTGGGCCTGGGCGCTGTCCCTCAGCTCTTCAGCTCAAGGCTAGCGCTCTACCACTTGAGCCACAGCGCCACTTCCGGCTTTTTTTTTTGCTTATGTGGTGCTGAGGAATCGAACCCAGGGCCTCAGGCATGCAAGGCAAGCGCTCTACCACTGAGCTACCTTCCCAGTCCCACTCATAATAACTTAATAGGGTTGCTCAGCCTAGACATCACCTTCTCTCCTTAGAATATTATTCACCTATAGGCTCTCTTAAAATACAGTTGATGTCACACAGTAGGATACCAGCCTTATTTGCAAGGTCTGAGAATACTTGTATCACATGTGCATTGAGAGATGGAGAAACAAGGTACCAGCCTTATTTGCAAGGTCTGAGAACACTTGTATCACATGTGCATTGAGCTGAGCTATGTCTGGTCCAAGACTAAAGATGGAGAAACTTATGGTAGAATGTTTAGTTCAACTTTCTGTTTTTAAAAAATAAATTCTAGATAAGGTATATGTGAGTATATTTTAGATACCTATTACACGCATGAAACAAACACCTGAAAATACTGTGTATTCTGTCAGTTGGAACTTCATTTAAGGTTGGTTTTTAGGTTTTGAGTTTTGCTTGCAAAAGGACCCAGGGTGACTATATATTTTTAATTTTGTATTACAATTGTAATGCTTGCTCTTGGTTTAAATACAGCAGTATGAATGCACATGGTTTTCAAACGGGAGTGTTTAGTGACCTGTGTCTTCCTTCTGTCCTGTCCCTCTGTTCCTTCTCTCCAGGAACTCCTTCTGTTAACTATTCTTCCAAGTGGTTCTTTTTTTGGGGGGTGGGGTGGGGGTGGGATAGGTTGTGGGGGATACAAGAATATATGTGTAGATGTCTTTTTATATATGATACCCCCATATGTTCCGAAGCTTGCCTTTTCATTTATTATATTTTAGAAACATTTATTTTGAGATATAGGAGACAGTGCTTTTAAGTTGAACATGTGACATTTTAAAGTACATTTCAAGTAAGTCAAAGCAGAGAAATAAATGTATTTTTCATTGATGTGTCAGAATTTTGATTTTTCTTTCTTAAAAATGCCTTTTAAGAGTAATAGTTGATTTATTTTTCCCTTCAGCCATCCCAAGTAGTTAAATTGTCAACAGATTAATTTAGGAACAATAGCTTTGGAAATAGTTTGGCATATCTGGATGTGTGCCATAACTTGCCCTTAGGTTCATATCCTGGACAAACTTTTACATGTGTGCGAGGAAATGAAAATAAAGTCATAATGGCATCATTTGTAATAGGAAGAAAAAAATTAAAAAGGGGGGAAATACAAACGGGGGAAAAAAACCTGTGAAGACCCCAGTTAACATTATGTTGGGTAAATAGTACACTACACTTCTACCACGGAATTCACAGAAAAAACTGAACTACAGCTCTTTATGTGGACGTGGGTGGTTCAACAGTGTTACATTACGTGCAAGTCACAGTATATTCACTGTGGTTATTTTGTGAAGGTAAATATTAAGTATATGATAAAGCAAAACAAAGGACCAGTGACACAGTTTTGATGTTAGCTGGTACTGACATTGGGAGCTTGGACGGAGATGTGGTCTGGGCAAAAACATACGACTTCAGAGGAGTGGGTGGTGCTCTGCTTCCAAAGCTGGATGGGCATTTTCTTTAGGCTGTTTTTGTGCTTTTGTATGAATATAATTCCTAATAAAATTTTAAAAGTTGGGAAGAGATCTTGATGTAGGGGAGTGACTACATCATGGACTTCATGAAATTAGCCTTTGATAGTATGTAGCAAATTTCTAAAGTACTTGTTCTTTTACTTAGAGAGGGTCTGGCTATGTAGCCCAGGTTAGCCTCACACAAAATTTTTCTGCCAGTCTCAAGTGCTGGGTTTATAAGGGCGCACCACCAAGCCCAGCCACACTTAGGATTTTTAATCATGGTTTTATTTTTTGTTTTTTATTTTACTTTTTTACCAGTCCTGGGGCTTGAACTCAAGGCCTAGGTGCTGTCCCTGAAGTTCTGCTCAAGGCCAGTGCTCTACCACTTGAGCCATAGTGCCACTTGGAGCCTTTTCTGAGTAGTTTATTGGAGATAAGGGTCTCAGCCTCCTGAGTAGCTAGGATTACAAGTGTGAGCCATTGTTGCCCAGCTTGATCGTAGTTTTAAAGGCTACAAGACAAGACTTAAAATACATGTTTTCTTTGAGATACCTTGTTTTATTTTGACATGGTTTTCATTTAGGTGCCAGCAAAGGGTAGATACCTTTCTAGGCAGCTTCCAAGAAGTTTTTCTTTCCCCCTCAAGATCATGCCATTTTACAAAGAAGCTGCCGAACTCTTCTGCTTCCTCTTGCTCAAGCTTGTTCCTGTTGGTCCTGTTCTAAAGCTCATAGGGTACTATGAAGTGTTAAACAATGATAACACTAAAGGGATTGAAACTTGGGAAGCATTCACAGGCACATAAGGGTCACAGATTAAGGTCGTCTTCATTGTTCCAGAAGCCTTGTAACACCCCAGTTCCCTAGATGAGGCTCCAGTCCTCAGGATGAGCTGAGGGTTTGCTTGGCTGTGAGTGCAGTCAGCACACACATGAGCACTG